GGTGGATTACCCTGAGCTCACAGGTTCAAGAACAGCCTGAGCCAGAGCAAGACCGCTGTCTCTAAAAATAGCCAAGCGTTATGGCAAACACCTGTAGTCCCAGCTAGTAGGGAGGCTGAGACAAGAGAATCACTTGCACCCCAGAGTTTGAGGTTGCTATGAGCTATGACACCACGGCACTCAACCCCAGGGTGACTGAGACTCTGTCTCAATAAAAAAAAAAAAAAGGCAACTAGAAGCTTCACAAACAGGGAAAATGGTGAGTAAGGCCAGAGTCAAGAAGGAGTAGGGTCTACTCAGGGTACTAAGTGTAGGAAGAAATAGAGTCTACACAGGATACCAAAGAAACCAGTTTGCCTTTCATAACTGGAAGATAAATTTGGAAAGGCAAGGTGACACCAGATCCAGACTACAGATTGCTTAAAAGGCCAGGCTGAGACAAGTACTTGAGCCACTAGGCAACAAAGACCTACTATAAATTATCAATACTGACTGGTAAGATAAAAATGTTATTTTAAGATTAGGCAGGCAGGAGTGCTTCAGAAAGGCTGAAATTAGAATTTCTGAAGGTTGGAAGGGTAGTGAGGCTCAACCAACACCTACTGAGAACTGACACTGGAGAAATCAGGATAAGAAAATAAAAGGCAGTTCCTGCCTTTGAGAAGCTCGAAACTAATTGGAAGACACACTTGAACACAAATGTTGCTTAATAGGTATAGCACAGGTATGTAACAAACACAAACCTGGGACAAAGTACATTGAAAGGGGATAGTTTAGTTTAGTATGAAAAGGAGGGCAGAAGCCAAGAGAAGCGCATATAGCTGATAAACTCTAGCGCTTCAGCCTCATCTGCTGAAATACCTCTGACAAGAGGAAAAGGGAACTTTATTTTTTTTGTTTTATTTATTTATTTTTTTTTTATTGAATGGTAACTGTGTACATTCATGCACTTCTGGGGTACAGTGTTGTGTTTTCATATACAATCCAAAACACTTCTATCAAACTGGTTAACACAGCCTTCATGTCATTTTCTTAGTTATTGTGTTAAAACGTTCATACTCATAGAAAGATTCACTTGTACCCTTGTAAGATAAACCACAGTAGTGAACCCTCCAATCCCCCTCCCTCCACCCATTCCCCGAAAAGAGAACTTTAAAGGGCAAAGTAATCACTTGCAACCATCTATCAGGGTTATGAACCAGTTAATGATAAAGAGGAATGTTTTCTCAACAATGAGCAAGCCAGAGGGTGTGGTTATGTAAGGGCCAGGTCAGGTTACTTTCAGGATTCTCTCTCATCTGCTATGAAGCTGAAGAAAGTAAAAACTATAAGTTGGCAGGTCAGGAAGGGGGCTAGAAAACTAACGTATGGTGACAGAAGATTAAAGTGGTTGCCTAAAATGGGAGTAGAGATGGATTGACTGGAATGTGGACCTAGAGAAATTCCAGGGATTTCAGTGTTCCAGATCTTGTTTAGGGTAGTGGTTACGAGTTAGCATACTCAGAACTCAATGACTTGAACACTTAAGAAGTGTGTATTTTCGGCTTGGTGCCTGTGGGTCAAGTGGCTAAGGCACCAGCCACATATACCTAAGGTGGTGAATTCAAATCCAGCCTGGGCCACCAAAACAATGATAGCTGCAACCAAAAAACAGCTGTGGTGGGTGCCTGTGGTCTCAGCTACTTGGGAGGCTGAGGCAGGAAACTCGCTTGAGCCCAGGAGTTAGAGGGCTCTGTGAGCTGTGATGGCACAGCACTCTACCCAGGGAGATAGCTTGAGGTTCTGTCTCAAAAAAAAAAAAAAAAGAACTGTGTATTTTATTGTAGGTAAATTATGACTCAATAATAATACGGAAATACTATAACAAAATTAGAATAAAGACCTGGGGGGGG